TATGGTATTGTTTGTTGCCCTTGTGGCAATATTGCGCGGCTCTGGCTCCTAATAACGCCCAGTATCGATTGTCGGCGAAGTCCGCTTGCTTGATCTCTGCCGGATCACCACAAGGGCCAAAGTTCAGCGCTTCGTGCAGTCTCATAGATCTTCCGTAAGATTATTTTGGGGGGGGGGGCAGTGGAGATAAAACATGTGACGTTTATTCCGGCATGCACATGACTTTTTAAGGACCCATAAAAATTACGGTAATTTATAAGAAATTGAGGTTTCGCCCGGTTGTTAAATGCGCCGAGCCGGGCAGCTCAGTCAATGCAGTGACTGACGACTGGACGATCGGGGTTCGATCCCCGATGTGTAGGAGCTAACCACCACTCCCCTGTGCGCCTACATGGCGCGTAATTATTAATTCCTTTCTAATACATTATTATCTAATCATCATGCACTTCGTCGCTACATAATCTGAGCGAATTAACTAAGCCTAGACTGTAATTTATAAAGGACTATGTAAGAAACAATAGCTTAACGTCTCATACCGGATGGAATTTTTCCGAGAGTGTCTTGTTTTGACTCTCCAAATACCTGTCTTGGAATGATGTTTGTAGTTAATTAAATTTAGTCGAATAACCGCTGATAAGCAAAGCGACGGTCGAGATATGCATTGCTAGTGCTTTGGATTGTACACAGCGCAACCGTGAAACTAGCTAATGCGTTATGGGTCGGCCTGACTTGACGGGAGGAGCGGTCGGCTCTTCCGCCCAGAGTCTGCGCTTGCGGAGCGAAAAAGGAATGAAACACCCTGTAGATTATATGTATATGCACGTGTTTGCTATACAACAGAGTTACAAGCACGTGTCTGCACTTGCTTGCTTTACTGATATGAATGTTTTGGCCGCTGTGTGCACTTTGTTTCGGCTAATGATTGCGTTGTTTGCTCATGTCGTGTTCACACTCAGAAACCTTACTATGGGAACAGCGTCTGTTATGGTCATGTATCATTTAGAGCGGTGTAAAGCGAATTCTGACTTCCAGGCCCTGTTACAGCCATCAGCTTGTAGAATGAATCGTTTATATACAAGCATCTAGTAATCACGACGCAGTCACGTTTTCTGTCATTTACAGAAAAACATTTGAGCGAAGTGGCATTTCGATACTTTTTTAGTAATGTACAGTCCCTGTGACCGCCACGGTGGTCTAGCGGTTAGAACGCTGGCCTTGTAATCCTGGGGTCTCGGGTTCGATTCCCGGCGGTGCCCGAATTTATAACTTGTGTTGGGCAAGGCCGTGGTCTAGGCAACACGGAGTTTTCCTCCGGGGGCTTCCCCGGTTTCTCCGTGGCATCCCAACAATTATTCCATTCACACACAGAAGAAGGCAATGGCAAACCACTTCTGGATCATCTGCCAAGAACGTATATGAACAGGTCCCAGTCCGAGAAAAGGATCGAAGGATCCTGTTCATATGGACCTGTCGTCAGACAGAACACTAAAATAAATAATAAATAAATAACAGTCCGTGTAGAACTGAAGTCCTGGAGAAGCTGATGGTCGATCAGGTAGTCAAAAATTTACAATGTCTGTATGCCTGTCTGTTTTTCGCTACAGTAGGACCCGAATTATATATTCATATGCATGGTATTGTATTGTGAAATGAAAAAGAAGTGATGTGAGGAGGAATGCATTGATTGTTGAACAAGAAATGAGACAAATGGAGTAGCGTGGCTGAATGTAGGGATTTGGAAACTGAGAAGGATTGGGAGAGGATTTATGAAAGGATTTGGGGGGGGGGGAGATGTTGATGAAGACATGCTGTTAAAATGTTTGGAAATGAGAAAATGGAGGGGAAATGTATGCAATAAATGACTCAGCATGAATGAGGGTTTAATGTATAAGAAAACCATGAATTGCACTACCTCGAGTTTATTGAATTTATTTTGCGAAATTTTGTGTAGATGGGAGAATAAAGTTAGTAAGACGACACTTACGATATGTGCGACAGTATGTGTTGTATTTTGAGAGTGTCGCTGAGGTTGTGTACCGCGAGAACTCGGTGTTACGCGACTTCAGAGACGCGTGTAATTTCTTAAACGTTGGCGTGTGATCGTGCCTGTATGTGTTCATGGTCTTTGTTCCAGGTTTACCCGAAGCGAGACATCACCAATATTGTAGAGGCCAGTCACTACCAAAAAGTTTCCAATTGGTGCAAAGTGGGCCATAAGAAATGCAAGGGTTCGCATTCCGAGTGGGTGAAACCGTATCGCTGTCTTGGTGAGTTCACTTGAATACAATTTCTTAATTTTGTCCCGCATTATTTATTTTTAAGCTACAGCCAATGTTTGTTCCCGAAACGCAAGGATCATGAAGGTCTTTGAAGTCAGTAATCATTTACCTCATCCATGTAATATATATATAAAACCTACTCTAACATTAAGTAACCCTGGAATTTTGCCCACAGAGTGTGTTTATGGATTTCTTATTATCCTCAGAATAAATATTATTTTTTTCTGAACAGTGTAAACTAGCTGATTTATAAAAAAACATAGGCTTTTTTAAGGTATGAAATGAATTTTTAAATACTATTTTGACGAGTTTTGAGGTTCTCATGGTTGTGATGTCGATGTTGGTCTTCTGCGTTGTATCGCCGTGTGGACTTGTAGGTAGTTGCGAACGTTTCGGAGGAACATACTGCCTCTATCTCAGTAATTCAGCCTTAAATATGGAGGCAGTATCCCCCCCCCCCTCCAGAAACGTTGACATATGCCCCCAAAATATGTAAATAACGTTTTATGGTATTCCTGTGACTGCACGTAGACGGTGTCTTGGTTTTTGGAATATTTTTTTTTAAATTAGTCTCCTCCTGTGAACTTCGCTTGTCTTTTCTTGCTATCGATTCCAAGAACTTTTGTAGTTACTCGCCGGAAGCCCAGGGGCTTTTAAATGAGCTGTGACCCGCTGAAATAGAATAAGAAATTAAATACAGGCTTAACGGAACAAAGGGAGATTAACAAGTAACTTATTATTAGTTTAGTTCACATTTACGCTTAGATATAAGTTCCAGCTCACAGCTAGCTTATACTCAATTTCTTCGAGAGATGCAATACTAGATAATTAATTCCATGGAACGGAGTCATCGCTCAGCTGATAACACAATTCCTCGCCCTCTGACAATAATTCTAATGATATTAACATTTCATTTACGCTTCCGTCTCCGATATGGTCTCTTTCCTAAACGTTTTCTGACTGATATTTAGTATTAATATACTTTATCGACCCCTGGCGTAATGCGTATCCTACCTATCCCATATTCCTTGATTTTATCACTTTAATGATGTTTGGTGAATGAGACAAATTATGAAAATTCTATATATTTGAAATTTCCATTCAAGGTTTCAGCCAGTAAATTAATTTATTTCGTTTTGTGATTGGAAATTTATGGTTCAGTTTCTTAGTGTTCTACGTTTCTGTTACTTTTATTTCCGTAATTTCTGCGTCCTTGGACAGGAGAACGCAAATGTGGGCGTCGTGTTTTTGCACAAAGGAGACGCGTCCATTGGCCTCCTGCATCCCGTATCGTGACTCAGATCGGTGGCTTGACCCCTGCTACAAAACTAGTCCTTAATCCCTGTCATAAGGCCCTGTCTTTACAATCTGCAGAACCTTTCCAGTGAAGTCCTTCTGAGACGCTCGGTAGTTCACGAAGGATTTTACTTGTGGGTCGCGCATCGTCTTTATATGCAGACGACTTGTCCGTGTATCGATCTGTTGAACAAGTGTCGTCGGAATATTTTAAATGCAGTCTCGGAATAAACGAACTGCATGCAGCAGGATGAAATACGTACCCTTTACAAATGTTTTATCATAGTAGCCGCCAGATCTGTAGTTCATAAGTGGACTAACTCCTTGGAATACGGCCGTTCTTGTGAAGTTAATAAGACCTTAGAACGAATTACTTAGAGCGCCCTTGCAAACAACTGTCGCTCCTTAAACCTATTCAGAATTGGTTCTAAGGGCCCCTCCGTTCCTCTAACTAAATTCTGCGGTGGTACCTTAAACAGTACATGACTTCGATTTGACCTTATGTGAATCAAAAATTAAATTCTAAAGATGTGGGCATTTGCTCAAAAATTAATTAACATTCGTTCAATACTTTCACTTATGAGACAGACAGCTCTGTTCTGCCCCCCATCTTATGCATCTATTACAATCAACTCATAACACATCTAATTATTGAGCTCTTCTGCAGCGAACAGTTCACTCTGTTGGTGGCGTGACTGTATCGTTGATTTTGGCAACAACTGAATAGGCCTACACTTTTATCTGAAAAGATTATACAGAACACTTGTGTATTTCCCTTGTATTTTCTACGTGCTTAATAATAGAGCAAAGAAACGCAAATTACAGTTTTGTATTATGTCGGAGCCTGCAGGTTTCATCCCGCTTATAGTCACGCGAGGAGCAGGTGGCCTCTACTTGTTTAACGGCGTGTAGGTCAGATTAAGCGGACGGGACACAAAAACAATCTTATACAGAGAAAATTAATAATTCGTAATGAACACTTTTTCGTTTGGAACAGTTCCACAGCCAAGGTCCAAAGGCTTGTAGAATTAATATTTTATTCACAAATAGGCCTATATTCAGTCACCGGCTGTTGTCGTATGGCATAATAGAGGTTCCGAAGGATTAATACTTAGATATTTTGATTATGATAGAACACAGGCCTATTCCATTATAAATGCCAGAACATGAAAACAAAAGTATTATCTAAGTTTTTATAAGGATTATAAATGATTTATATCGAATACCTGATGGCTCTTTGTACCATCGCCACAAACATTCGTGTTTTGAGTATGTTAATTACAATATGGAATATGCCGGTAGGAAAAAGTGGATCGATCGGTGTAGATAGAAATTAAGAATCCACCACATCCAGACTGCCTCCGACGCACAATGACTCTTCCGTCCACAGGGTAAGACGACCGGAGCATTGAAATGACTGCTCACTTCCAACTAACGTTGGTTTGAACCCGCTGCAGAGCTAAGTCACATGTTTAGAACAGATTTTCAAGATGACGAACTCGGTCATTTTTCATGTTACCGTCCGCCGTTGAAAAGTGACAGATGGCAGTTTGTTATGCGTCATCTGTTGGCTTCTATGCGTCTGCTAACTAGCACACAAATTACAGGCTATTTATACAGACGACGGGCCTGGTTCTGTGGTCTCTTTGGTTGCCATGACAAACGTAGTTTTCGACAGCGCCGGGTTGCTTCGGCGTTGCCCTAAAGCTACAGCGAATAAGAGTTGAATATCTGAATTATACGATATAGTAGGTTTAGTCAGAAATGTCATAGTGACCTAAAGATATTTCGTAAAACGCGATTGATTCTTATAAACATGGGAATCATGGCGCATGTTAGAGGATGTTCGATTTGGTTTGCTTTCATTTGGCTCAGTCGGGAAATTGCGAACCTTTTTGAATTTGGGTACAGTCATATTTTTTTTTCAGTATTGGTCATTCCGTTCCAGCTAATATGTCAGGATTACCGATGGCCATGTTGTAGGATTAAGTGTTATGACGGAGTAAAAAACTAATAAGAAGTGTGAAACAGCGCCTGATTACTTTTCCCACTCGGAATTATTTTAATCGCAGTTCTGTGTCAGTGAAGTCGGCGAGACTCAGTACTCATTCGGTTGACACTGGTCAAGACAAAATAGGTGGGACTGTACACTGATTAAACTGTATAATTTATGCAGCGTATTGTAATCCTAGGGTCTCGGGTTCGATTCCCGGCGGTGCCCGAATTTATAACTTGTGTTGGCCAAGGCCGTGGTCTAGGCAACACGGAGTTTTCCTCCGTGGCATCCCAACAACTACTCCATTCACACACAGAAGAAGGCAATGGCAAACCACTTCTGGATCATCTGCCAAGAACGTATATGAACAGGTCCCAGTCCGAGAAAAGGATGGAAGGATCCTGTTCATATGGACCTGTCATCAGACAGAACACTAAATAATGGCATCCCAACAATTACTCCATTCACACACAGAAGAAGGCAATGGCAAACCACTTCTGGATCATCTGCCAAGAACGTATATGAACAGGTCTCAGTCCGAGAAGAGGATGGAAGGATCCTGTTCATATGGACCTGTCGTCAGACAGAACACTAAGTAATAATAATAATAATAGTGATGTGGAAACATTAATGTAAATGCTGAGTGGGTATAAGGATTTGGAAGGAAACCGTCATGGCCGAGTGCACTGGGCCTGGAGTGGGAAGGTGTACTTGGCTCACGTTCCGACAGCCTTCACCCTCGTAACCTATTTAGTGGATTTCTGTATAATTTGGTATTAGGTGTTTGGTGAATTTATTTTTGGTCCTTCACACGAATCCTAAATGATTCAACTTCATTTGCAATGTAAAGTCTCTATTTTTGATTATTTCTTTAAGCTTCATGGGAAGTGGATTACATTTCTACTGATGTGTGAAGCAGCTGGTTGCGTTTACAGCGTGACATTTGGATGATGTGAGGGACACATTTTAACAAAACATGTACATCCCTGGCTGTCACATGCAGGGCCCCAGCTAATTCCTCTCACTCAAAGCGTCTAGTCTGGCGAATTCAGTCGTAAGCTGCGAGATTCGAGTCCACGTAGAGTGTAAGAGCGGTATAAGTCGTGAAGTATCGTATGCTGTGCGTGTCATAGACAGTCGAAAAATACCTCAAAAACCATAATGACAGTGGCCTGAATGTTTGCAGCTGTGAGAACCTCATGTCTCGATAATAAAGTTTTTATCGGTTTTTTTCTCTGTCTGTGTAAATTTTGGGATATAACCACCGGATAGACATAATCTTTGCGTTCAGACTATGATTATTTTTAAATATCAGTTGGTATTCTTGCTGTTCGTTGCAAAACGCGTGTCGTATCTCCTATGACGATTCTAGATTTGTCTGTTGGTACGGATGTTCCCGTATGGGCCTTGTGTTCGGCGAGGTTAACATGGGTTGGTGTTGCCCGCAAGAAATCCTTGACAGGTAGCGAAAAACTGAGATGTGATCCTCTGAGCGGATTGCCGGCTTAGAAAACTGGGATTACACTTGTAACACACACTTTTTGGTTTCGTACGGTCAAGACAGAAGCTGCGAGGTTCACGCAGAGACACAAAAACGGAAATTAAGAGAATATTCGTCTTCAAAATTATGCGATACCCCACAAAGACGTCTTTAAAATGATTCTCTGCGCAATGTAGATATTAATAGAAGGCTGGA